ATTTTTAAACATTCATAACGAATTGAAATTAAAGAAAAAAAACTGTGTGGGTCTAACAGAGTATGACTGTAAACCCATTAGTAGTTGCAATTTCTGGAGTACAGTAAATGGGTTATATAAGATATCATTGGTACCTTGTATTTGCTAGAGGTTTCAGGTGTAACTTTTGTTGATGCTAAAGAGAATATGCATATGAAAATGAACTGGGTACAGTGGCTCACACCTGTAATCCCAGCACTTTGGGAGTCTGAGGCGGGAGGATCACTTGAGCCTAGGAGTTTGAGACCAGCCTGGGGACATAGTGAGACCCTGTCTCTAGTAAAACAAGTAAATAAATAAAATAAGAAAATCAAAACCAGCACCCTAACCTTAGAACAGAGACTCTGTTTCTTTCCTAGGCCCCCTGGAAAAAGGACAAGTGAAAAATGAGGCTCTTAGAGAATTGAGAGTGGAACTGAGCAAAAAACACCAAGCTCGAGAACTTGATGGATTTGGACTTTATCTGTAAGTGTTACAGTAATATGGAACTTTCTGTAACATATTCTCCTGAGTGGAAAGGAGCTATTAAATAGCATTAACTTCTGTGATTGTTTCTTTTTTTTCCCAGGTATGGTGTGGTGCTTCGAAAACTGGACTTGGTGAAAGAGGCCATTGATGTGTTTGTGGAAGCTACTCATGTTTTGCCCTTGCATTGGGGAGCCTGGTTAGAACTCTGTAACCTGATCACAGACAAAGAGATGGTAAATTGTGATGAGCTATGTGAAAAACCCTCTGCTTCAAGCCTTCTATAATTCTGTAGTAATATAGGGGTGGGGGAAGTTTTAGCAGGCCTTTGGTTATAGTTCTCTCTTTGCTGTGCGTCTGGTGTCTTTCACCGTTTTGGAATTAAGTCTTTGTTTGAAAGACTGATGACTAGCTCTTTTTCAGTAGTTGCTGTTGGATTTGTATCCAGTTACACTAGAATATTTTTTTCATATTCATGTTTTCACATTTCAGTTCTACTGTGACTTGTTTTTGTTTTTGTTTGAGATGGAGTCTTGCTCTTTCACCTAGGCTGGAGTGCAGTGGTGCGATCTCGGCTCACTGCAACCTCTGCTTCTCGGGTTCAAGCAATTCTTCTGCCTCAGCCTCCCAAGTAGCTGGGACTACAGGCATGCACAACCATGCCCAGCTAATTTTTGTATTTTTAGAAGAGATGGGTTTCACCATGTTGGCCAGGCTGGCCTCAAACTCCTGACCTCAAGTGATCCTCCTGCCTCAGTCTCCCAAAGTGCTAGGATTACAGGCATGAACCACCATGCCCAGCCTACTGTGACTTATTTTGTAGACTGAATGTTATTATAGTTTCTCCCCTAATCTCAAATATGCTATGGGAAAGGTTTCTCTGCTATCAAGAATTGTATTAAAACATTATGGCCGGGTGCAGTGGCTCACGCCTGTAATTCTAGCACTTTGGGAAGCCAAGGTGGGTAGATCACCTGAGGTCAGGAGTTCAAGACCAGCCTGGTCAACATGGCGAAACCCTGTCTCTACTGAAAATATAACAATTAGCCAGGTGTGGTGGGTGCCTGTAATCCCAGCTACTTGGGAAGCTGAGGCGGGAGAATCACTTGAACTTGGGGGACAGAGGTTGCAGTGAGCCCTGATGGCGCTACTTCACTGCAGTCTGGGTAAAGGAGCGAAACTCAATCTCAGACAAACAAACAAACAAACACAAAAACATTGTTTAGGCCTCTTCTGAGCTGTCATGGATTCTGTAAAGATTTGGAAATTTGCTCATTAAGGAAATAATGTATATTAAGCTGCTTTTAAACTCCAGTCATTTTATTAGCTATTAGTAGAGGACATTGTCTATAGTGTTTATTTTGCTATTCTTCAGTAGCTAATGGAAGCAACAATACACTTCCTTATTTTGGCCTTAAAGTCTTGTTGATTTCCCCCAGTAATGACTTGTCACTAAATCTGTATCTGAAATCTTATCTTGGTTTACTTTTATTCACCTATGTGTAACTGCCTGCTAGACTTTCATTGAAAGTTTGTTAAACAATCTCTGGATTCAAAATATGCAAACCAAATTCCTCATCTTACCTACTAAATTATTCTCCCAACTTGATAGACTCTTACTAGCATCGCTATTAACAACGACATCCAGGCCAGGCGCGGTAACTCAAGCCTGTAATCCCAGCACTTTGGGAGGCCGAGATGGGCGGATCACGAGGTCAGGAGATCGAGACCATCCTGGTGAATACGATGAAACCCCATCTCTACTAAAAAGTACAAAAAACTAGCCGGGCGAGGTGGCGGGCGCCTGTAGTCCCAGCTACTGGGGAGGCTGAGGCAGGAGAATGGCGTGAACCCGGGAGGCGGAGCTTGCAGTGAGCTGAGATCTGGCCACTGCACTCCAGCCTGGGCGACAGAGCGAGACTCCGTCTCAAAAAAAAAAAAAAAAAACAACGACATCCAGTCTTGACACTTTAGAGTCATACTTGTGTCTTCCTTTTCTGTTATCTCCCTTTATCTAGTCTGTCATGAGACATAACCATGGTTACGTTCTTGTATACATCTCTTTCTCTTGGTTTCCTTTATCATCTCAGTTGTCATCTCAAATTTGGATTACTTACAAGTAATGGATACTTTCTATCTAGTGTTCCCATTTTTATACTTCCATTTCCAAGTCATCTGCATACTATTTCCAAACTATTTTTTTCTTTTTTTTTTTTTTTTTGTGGAGATGAGGTTTTGCTCTCTTGTCAGGGCTGGTGTCAAACTCCTGGCCTCAGGGATCCTCTCCCATAGCCTCCCAAAGTGCTGGGGTTGCAGGCTTGAGCCATTCCACCTGGCCTGTTTCCAAACTTATTCTTAAAGCTCCCATGTCATCATGTCATTCTCTTACTGAATATTTGCAGTGGTTCCCTAATGTATCCCATTTTCTATTGTACCCTAGAATGCACTCTACCCATTCAGTTTTATTTTTCCACTACTTCCCAGTACATAGCCTCCCCGCAAACCAAGCTAGTTTCCTCATCCTACTCACTCACATTCATCATGACTGTTTTGCCTCTCCTTATGCTATTACCCTTGTCTAGACTATTGTCTTCTTTCTCTTCCTCTCCCCTCTTCTATTTAAATCCTACCCATTCTCTAAGACTCACCTCAAATCCTGTCTTTTCTTTGGAGCCTTTCCCAACTAGGTTATTCCTCCCTATTATGCTTTTAAGTCATATTCACTTAATTGGACTGCCCTGTTTTCATTACTAGATGTTCTAATAAAATTTTAGTGATAAATTCCTTTAGACAATAAAGATAGTTCCTGGATGTTTGTTTGAGAGAGAGGTCAAGTTATATTAAGTGTGTCCCTCTCTCTCCTGCTGCCAGCTGAAGTTCCTGTCTTTGCCAGACACCTGGATGAAAGAGTTTTTTCTGGCTCATATATACACAGAGTTGCAGTTGATAGAGGAGGCCCTGCAAAAGTATCAGAATCTCATCGATGTGGGCTTCTCTAAGAGCTCATATATTGTTTCCCAAATTGCAGTTGCCTATCACAATATCAGAGGTAAGTGAATAAAGACAATGAAATACTATCAGACCCTGACAGGTGCATTGTGCTGTTTTCTGAACTACCTTCTTTCTGCAGATATTGACAAAGCCCTCTCCATTTTTAATGAGCTAAGGAAACAAGACCCTTACAGGATTGAAAATATGGACACATTCTCCAACCTTCTTTATGTCAGGGTGAGCTGCTTCCCTTGCTTGGATCTCCTGGGTTGGATTGTCACCCACTTGTATTAGCTACAGGAAAAATAATTTAGGGAGTTCTTTTTTCATACTTATATTGTCTTTTTCGTTTATCCCAGAGCATGAAATCGGAGTTGAGTTATCTGGCTCATAACCTCTGTGAGATTGATAAGTATCGTGTAGAAACGTGCTGTGTAATTGGTAAGAGTTAACTACATTTTTTCTTTTAAGATTTATATTTATTATAAGTAACACATGTGAAAATAACCACAATTAGCTAGGGATGGTGGTGCGTGCCTTTAGTTTCCTCTACTCAGGAGACTGAGGCGGGAGGATTGTTTGAGCACAGGATGTCAGGACAGCAGTCAGCTGTGATCATGTCACTGCACTCCAAGGCTGGGCAACAGGGTGAGAGCCCATCTCTTAAATAAACAAACAAACAAACAATAATACAAAAGTACCAAAGGTAGCAATTACATACCATAGAATGTGAAAGCTCACTGTAATCCCACTCTGAAGGTTGTTTGGTGAACATGATTCCAGAATATTTTTCTGAGCAAGTGTTAAAAATGTATGTGTAGGGGCCAGGAGCGGTGGCTCATGCCTGTAATCCCAGTACTTTGGGAGGCCAAGGTGGGCAGATCACGAGGTCAGGTGTTCAAGACCAGCCTGGCCAATATGGTGGAACCCTGTCTCTACTAAAAATACAAAAATTAGCTGGGTGTGGTGGTGCGCGCCTGTAGTTCCAGCTACTTGGGAAGCTGAGGCAGAAGAATCACATGAACCCGGGAGGTGGAGGTTACATTGAGCCAAGATCGTGCCACTACACTCCAGCCTGGGTGACAGAG